CATTTATATGATAATATTAGTAAGAAGTATGATGAATAGAAATCAACTTTGTTTTATATCTTAAATAACAATGTTTAAAATAAAAATACAAAATAGTGTGCTAATTTTGGGTCAAATTATAATAATAAGAACAAAACTCACTTTCAAGCAGTTTTTAATTTTAAATTAATAAGATTGCCTTTACTTACGATTTTTTCTGTGGTATTCTTTTGCGCTTGACTTCTTTCCGTCACTTGTTACGTTGCATATCGAAATTAAACGAAGATTCATGTTATTGCTTGTTTAACTTCGAAAGGGGCTGTTTTATTGGCTGTCAAGTGAACCGCTTAGAGCGGCAGATAGCGGATTAGAAATTGAAACACTCCGACAGCTGTGCCCATGCAAATGCGTGGAATAATTTGAATTTGGAATTCTAAAGCGATTCGTACTTTTACTGCTGAGATAACTTTTTAATAAAAATTCCATCATGCCAGTATCATTGCGTTGTTAAAAATGTTACTGGCCTTGTTTTGTTTTATACTTCCTTTTATATGAATTGAAACAAAACCTACATAAACATATTCTACGAGTACTTATTTCATTCTCAACTGCCGTTTATAATATTCACGTATGGTCTGCGCAATAGGTTTTATAACACCCTGTATTTTGGCTTCATTTTTAAGCCTTTTAAGCCTAAAATTACAATTAAATAAATAAAAAAGTAACTAACATCGCAATACCTTATATAAAAATATGTTGTCATACGAGGGTTTTGAAAAAATTATTAAAACAAATTTTAAGTTCGCCTTTGTAGCCGCAAAAAAGAATAATTGAATTACAAAGCTCAAAGAAAATATGACTCGAGGGGAGGTTTTATTAGGTGCGAAGTGACATCGACTGTCGTAAAACGACCGTAACTGTTTTTACAACACACAATAGACAAAAGTTAAAAAATAAACTCTTTGAAGTATACATGAATTTTAAAATACCCCTTTAATTTTCCCCAAAAATTCTTTACCACTAGTATACTTACACAGCATAATAAGTCAAGAACACTTATCTTAATTCGTGAGAATGTTTTCGTAACGTCTTCGATAAAATTTGTATTAGATTTGCACAGCATCCTTACTGCGCATAAAAGACACCAAAAAATCTCGCAATTGTTACGCAAATATTCGTGATAGACTCTTTCATTTAAATATAAACTTGCGATTAAATATAAACTAATAACTTTCGCCTACGACTGTGTCCGCGTGGTATTATAAAAAGCCTACGTGTTCTTCAAGACTATCCTTTTCAACCATGTTAAATTTCATCGAGATCCGTTCAACAGTTTAGGCTACAAACTCTACCAAACATCAATCCATCTATCTAAACTTTCGTATTCATAATATTAGCAAGATTTCATTTGTTTCAGTACTTTAAACTTAGGCTTCGAAAAAGGTGGATTGCGGGAAAAGTAACATCATCAAGAAGAGAAGATTGTTATGACGGAGTGATTTATGAGGACAAAGTTCTGGTACCAATTGGACAAGGAGCAGAAAATAAGGACATCATCTTTTATCCGGTGGCCCAACTTTGGTCCCTTTTCCTTCCCATTCTAATTTCTTATAAGAGAAGAGGAGAGGATACGCATAGGAAAGGGTAATATTCTCTTTATGTGCGTTTCCTCCAACGTCGATGAAGAGTAGGTAACGCATCCGCTATTACGAATGTCTATGGCCGTCATATAGCGTCATTTTGACGGAATCAGGTGGCCGCTTGCTCATTTGCCACCTTATGATGTAAAAAAATCGCCGTTATGCTCTAGCGCTTTACCAATTCCAGTTTGGCAGATTCCACCTGATGAAAGCGATGAAGGGATCGTAACAGAGGATCTTTTTTTCGCGGGGTATTCTTAATAATGATACCATGTCCACGGATTGGGACATGGTTATGTAGGGTTATACCTACTAAAACCGTCTTGGTGGCCATCTAGTGCTACTAGAGAGGCTCCGGGATCTACGAACGAAACATGTGACCTACGTCCTACTCGTAGTTTAATAAATATCTGTTTTCTTTCGTCTACTAAATAGTTAAATATATTATTTAATAACGAGTAGAAATAATTATCATTTTCAAAAGGGAAAGATTAATTTGTGTGGTGAAATAGCGGTAGAGTTTTATCAGTCCGCACGGCGTTGCGACGTTAAAATGATTTAGTATGCAAACTCTCCACAAAATGCGCCTATGCTAATGTGTCAAATGAAAATTTCGGCTAATTTTCTACAGGCGCATTACCTTCTCTTTGGAGAATTGTATTTAAAATTTTCTACTTTCGATAATAATTTCTGAAGCTTAACGTGAACGAATTTAAGTGTTTGAGAAGTTATGACATGCTTTGTTAATATTTATCAAATAAATTTGTCCATAAAAAAATAATTCGGAACAAACTACTAAGCCGTCTGGATCTTTAAATTTTATGATTAGTTTTTTTTTAAATTACATTGATGAAATAATTGACATATAAAATTTTAAACTATTACGTAAATTTCGTCAGTTATAAATATTCCACTTTAACACTTACCGATTTAACCACTTTTAAAACACTTGCCCACGTTAAATTACGTTAAAACTAACATTTGAATAATGAATTCTTCCACTGAGAATTAACAAATATTTCTGGGTTATATTATAGGAGCGTCCGAAGTTTCATCTTACGTCAAATTTGAATAAAACCCTCATTTAGGACGTAGAATAGTGTTGTGCGCGTATTTTTTTAGTTTATCGATAAAGTAGTGATACATTAATATAAAAATTATCATTAAAAATTTTTATAACTAAACTCACGCCCGTAACTCAGATAGGTAGGCAGATATTACGGGTTTATATTTCTCGCGGTCACACGTCCCTGATCTCTTCCATATTTATTACGTATGTATGCGCAACTTATTAAAATTATAATTCTCAGTTAACTTATTCTTGAGTATATTATCATTATTTTATAGAAAAAAAGTTATATCTGTTCTTTTGCAATTTATTAATTGCAATAATACATTCACCAAAGTGGGTAGGAAATAATTGTCCTCGAGTGTACGCATGGCAAACTATTGCAGTGAAATCGTATTGTACGTATTAGACCATCACGAGCCGGCATTTGAGAGGGTTTATTGGACATCTTAGCGTAGGGAACTCGCAAAAAAACTCATAGCTCATATCAATGGCCGCGTCCAAATGATGTCGTGCTCCAAATTTGAATAGAGGACACTTTCAGGATAAAGGAATAGGGTTGTGTAACAACAATGTCGATATCGATAAAAGATCTGATTAAAGATTTCCCTGACTAACAAAACCGTAATATTTTAATATTCATTTCTTAGTAAACATTGCAAAATTAAAAATTATTTAGGCTAAAACGACTAATTTCTTTTCTATATCATTCCATATGCTTATAAATTTATCTATGCCGAGGAAGTACCAATAATTTTTTGCTCCCTTAATATCAGATTCATGTAGATGAAGAAATTTGAATATACTTGTGGAAACCAACACGCAGTTACCCCGCCTTACTATAACCTTGTCACTATAAACTGAGTATGCTCTTAACCCCAAGGTAGAGACATGAGCCGACATGTATCTGCTTATAACAATGCACAAAAGTTTCAGATTTTATGACTTCTAAAAGTTAAAGAACATTGTCAAGATAATTTTGTAGCCTTGTTTATTGTTCTGCTTAAGGACTTTCAAAATATACAATGTTAAAACTTCTAACGATGAATACTGAGCCTTTAGAATTTTTAACAATATCAACGTCTATGGTACTTATTTTATTGTTACTGATTAGTAAAAGAAACTTTGAAATCAATTTAACAGTTGTTGAATTCTTTCTAGAATAAAAAAACAAATGAATATTCTTTATATCATTACTAAGTTTCATATTATAAAGAAATTACACTAGTTTTTTTGCTCGCATCCAATGCGCGTGATTAACAAAACAGAAGTAAATAGCGTACTTGTTCTTCTAGACTATCCTCTTCATCTATGCCAAGTTTAATCGAGATCTGTTCAGTAGTTCAGGTTACAAACATCCATCCATTTAAACATTCGCATTTATAAGTAAGATACACATAATACAGGTTTCTGGCAAACAATGAATTCTTTACAAATTGCACAATTTCCTACGCAAACCTTTATTCAATGCCATTTTATATTATTCCATCAGCGCCAGCGTCATATGGATGTCTGGAAATCCTAGTAAGGGATTTTCTCAGAACTAATATATAACAAATCTAAAAACGCTGTTCCAGAGAATTATTTGTTCAGCAACTCTATGAAAACTGGATAATAGTAATATTCATACAAATATTTTTCTCATGAGATAAGGTAGATCATAGCTAAATAGACAGTTATGGAGAAAGGCGTAAAACATTGCAAATGACATAAATCTTTTCGGAGAATTAACTTGTTTCACAAACATATCAATTATGTTGAAATGTTAAAAAAAAAATCATTTTAGTCATATTCTTTCGATGGTGCTACCTCCAGCCTTCTCTCCCTTGTGCCTCTTACCTTCTTCAAACTTTTAAAATAAAATTGGTCTTATCTCGAAGTACTAATATAGTCAAGTCTAACGTATCCCATAAAGATTTACCAGAATGTTTGTAAGAATTCTAATTCCCAGCAAAGGTTCTAACATGCAATTTAAACGAGAATTGAAAATTTCCTTCAGCATGGCAACATAATTCGATTTCGTATTATACTCTCAGCGCGCAATGTCGTTTGGAAGTCGATAAATCTCAATAGAGGATTTACTCAAAGCCCCAGTGTTGGGAATGTTCACAATACATATGGACGTCTTTTCGGCTTCTAGCGCGCATATTAAATATCAATAACTTGTTTTTTTTTTAATACTAAGAGCTGTTAGAAAGAAATATCGAGTATTTCTTCTTTTGCACTGTATAAGGTAAGAAAAATCGTGAATACTTAAATGTAACGTAGATGGCTACTTACTGTAAAAAATGCTTCCAAATAAACAAAACAGGTAATCAACAGGTAACAATTTCGTATATTCAACAAACACATTACAACTACCACACAATAAATAAATCAACTACAACATGAAGACAGTTGAAAATGACTTAAAATTAGATAACAATATTTACAAGGCACAAGCATACACAAATCAACGCACACATAAACCATCACACGAGTTGCTACATCAAGGCCTTAGTGACCTTTATGATGATGAATTGTTTTGTAGACGGGAATCTTAACTGGGTAGGGCTGTGGTACATGGACGGTCACAGTCTTCTCTACTTTAATTGGCACGTGCTTTTCAACTGGGTAAGGAACATGCTTCACAACAGGGTAGGGCACAACCTTCTCAACTGGAATGGATATTTCAGTTTCAACGGGCACAGCCACCGGTTTATGAACTGGTACCTTTACTGGGTAAGGCTGGGGTACACCAACTAAGATTGGTTTTGGCACATTAACATGAATTGGCTTATGAATAGGGTAAGTGACATGTTTGTACAGAGGAACAGCTACTGGATGTTCTTCATCAACATGCTCGCCAACTGGTATGGCTTGAGAATGTCCATCAAATCCTTGACCTTCGAAACCGGAACCTCCGAAACCCTGTCCTTGATCTCCGAAATCGTGTCCGCCATCTTGAAGGACGAAAGTTTGAAGTTGTCCAGCTCCATGACCGTCGGATTGTCCTCCATATCCACCTGAGTTTCCTTCATGCTCATCGGAACCGCCGTTAAAACCTCCATGACCACCTAG